GTGGTTCTTGATTGATTTTAATGATAACATATCCATTAAACTAACCAGATCCAGATGCAAATGGAACTTTTAAGATAGGAAAACTAATGGAAATAACTTGAATACATACTGGAGAATGCATTAAGTAATAGATCTACAAATTTAGAAAACAAACAAAGAGTCTTGGGTAAGATTTCACCTTGTCTGGCAAGGTTGAACCTCTTGCAATCACTTCTCTTTGAATTAACAAGGGTTTATGTGCTAAAAAGGGATGGACGGTAAACAATTTTACACAAGGGAATCGATACTACGCCACTGAGGGAGATAGCAGAGCTTTAAACTGGACAATAGATAGTTTGTCGCTAAAAATGACTGAATCTGGATTGATTTCACTTTTTGGATGCAAATCTGGCTTGAGAGCAGAGTTTGTATGTTTGTTTGTTTGATTGATTGGTTGAATGTCCTTATCTCTGGGGCCTCTTCCTCATTTTATAGGCAATTTAGCTCGGTTGTTGTAACTTTGTTCTTGCCCGAAAACATTTGGAGGGTAATGAGTCATCAACTTTTTACTTGGAATGCCACTAAAAAGTATTATTTGGCTGGTAGTAGGTTAGTCTCCATCACTTGTCCCTTCAATGGTAAGCACATGGCTTGTATTTGGCTGAGAAGGCTTCAATTTGCCTTTGGGCTCGGTGTTGGGCTTCGGGCAAGACCCTTTTTAGTTGGCATCCTTGGACTTTCCTTCATTCAAATCCAATGTTCAAATATTAAACTAAACAGGTTGTACCTAGTTCCGGGCCCAAGTCATACAAGTTTGCTTCCTACATGTCTGTAACATTAAGCTGTGATCGTCGTGTTATCGATGGTATGTCCTATCTCTAATTTCTTTTCGGAACTGAATCTGAAATCATTAAAAGTACCTGTATAAGTATCTGAAACATTATAACAACTTAATAACGCCACTTTCCCTTATATAGGAGCAATTGGTGCGGAATGGCTGAAGGCGTTCAAAGGCTACATTGAGAACCCCGAGTCAATGCTGCTCTAAATAGACAGATTTTTTCATCGTTTTCCCTTGTGTGATTAGTCAAGACAAGGGGGCTTGGCTTGAATGATGATATCCCAAGTGTTGTTCCCAATCTTTTGAGCTGGGTGTCGGATGATTGTATTTGAATAACTGAGGAAATCATTTTGTAGTGTTCTTTAATTCAGATTTGGCATAGCTTTTTTCGAAATAAAAGGGTTTCAATGATTCAGGCATCAGATTTTGGACGAAATTTTGCCCATCTAGAGCAGTAATTGCCAGCTGTATGTAATAAGAAATTTGAGTTCAACCCATTTGTTTTTTTTTTTTCCTCAGATTATTGTGAATATTTGCAAATTTTAGGTGTGCTTTTGTACGACACTTTATCATTATGTACTAAGATTGAATACTAAATCATCGCAATACTAGCGACAATAGACTGCAGTACTAAATGATATTTGATCAAGAAGGATAGTTTATATGAATGGTTCTTATTGATGGCATGAAAATTAGAGAAAATGTTTCAAATGCTCGGGACTCAAGCGGGTACCTAACATGTCATAGAAAAAGAGGACAGATACTGAAAAATGTATCATTTCCTCACGAAAGGGATCCTTACTGGATCCCTTCCTCCTAATCCACCAAATTAAGGAATCTATGCCATTAAAATTTGATCCAACGACTGAAGTTATTATAACATTTAAAGTGGGCCCCTGTTTGTAGCCTTTTGATCAAATTTCAATGACATGAGTTCTTTGATTTGGTGGATTAGCAGGAATGGATCTGGAGTAGATCCCTTTCCATTTCCTCCAACTTGTATAATGACATGTGGACTGTGAAGTATATATCACCTCTAGGTTAATGGAGATGAGGATAGTTAGTAGGGACCATATATAAGACCAAACCCAACCCTGGGCTAAATGCTATTCTTAAGGTTTTATTCCCTCGCCCCCAAACCCAACCCAAGCTAAATGTGTGGGCTAAAAGCTAAAACTCAAAAGAAAGCTAAATACCACCCAGGATTTAGCCCAGATGTGCGTGGACTCGCCCAACCCCAATCCAGTCTCGGCCCAAACACACGCCCCAATGTCCCCATGCGAGCTGAAGCCTTCAGCGTCCGACAGGGGGGCCACTGTCAGGGTAGCTATTGGCCACCATCAGGAGCCCAACGACTCTTTTTTTCATCCTACGGCAGATATATTTGGACCGTTGGTTGATCCAATGATCCATATTCAAATTTCGTTTTATAAAAAAAAAATGTAATTTTAAAATACATTGAATCCAACGGATGAGATCGAATATAATCAAATCTAACGGTAGAAAAAAAAAAAGATCTAAGGGTTGAAATTTAAAATCTAAATTTATGGGCTAAAAATTTTATGTTTTCATATTCTTTCGTAGTGTTTCATGAGTTCATGTATTGATTTAGTGATTTTTCAAAATTTATCGGAATTTAAATATTTTTAGGTTAAAATGTTCATAAATTAATTTATGATAGTCTACATAATTTTTTTTTTTATTTTTAAAAAGTTAATTTTAAAAAAAATTAGCCTAAATTCTTTCTTTAATAATTTGGGCTAAAATTTTAGACCAGAAAGGTTGGTGCAGAAAATGGGACATCCCACATCGCCCAGGGGAGTGATCCTTATATGTATATTCTCATCCCTACCTAGCACGAGGCCTTTTGGGAGCTCACTGGCTTCGGGTTCCGTAGGAACTCCGAAGTTAAGGGAGAAGGGGGCTAGAGCAATCCCATGATGGGTGACCCACTGGGAAGTTGCTCGTGAGTTTCCAAAAACAAAACCGTGAGGGAATGGTAAGCCCAAAGCGGACAATATCGTGCTACGGTGATGGAACGGGCCCGGGAAATGATCTGCCCCGGGTCGGGATGTGACAATTGGTATTAGAGCCTAACCTGGTCGCGTGTGTGCCGACGAGGACGTCGGACCCTTAAGGGGGGTGGATTGTGACATCCCACATCGCCCAGGGGAGTGATCCTTATGGTATCGTTTGGTATGCAGACGGGACGGGACGGGACGGAACAGAATGGGACGGGACGGGACGGGATAGGACGGAACGGAACGGAGCGGGAGCAAAGATTCCCTCGGATGGAAACAAGGAGGAAGAAGAAGGAGACGGAGAGGTTATAATTTTGTGTTCCACGGATGTGGAACGAGTCGTTCCAGGGGGGTCAGGTGGAACGAAAATTCACCCAAAACTCGTCCCGTGGAACAGCTCGTTCCACCCGTTTTAAGCGCACCAAATGTGGGACGGAACGCCTTGTCCCACTCTGTTCCGTCCCGTCCCACGTACCAAACGGTACCTATATGTATATTCTCATCCCTACCTAGCACGAGGCATTTTGGGAGCTCACTGGCTTCAGGTTCCGTAGGAACTCTGAAGTTAAGCGAGAAGGGGGCTAGAGCAATCCCATGATAGGTGACCCACTGGGAAGTTGCTCGTGAGTTCCCAAAAACAAAACCGTGAGGGAATGGTAAGCCTAAAGCAGACAATATCGTGCTACAGTGATGGAGCGGACCCGGGAAGTGATCTGCCCTGGGCCAGAATGTGACAGAAAAGCTGTTTTTGGGCTAAAAATTTTAGGTTTTATGCCAAAGATTGGAAATTATCTAATGAAGCAACTCGCAAATGTGCTTTAAGGATGACAACTTTGGGGATCACCTCCCGTTGTGCATTGTTCTGTACCTCAAACAGGAGAACCAAAATGGACGGCACCCTTGCCTTCGTGCCGTGCCCTGCCATGTCCATTACGTCGACGGCCGCCATGATTGTTATGTTTAGAATGTGAAAGGTGTAACTTCAAGAAATTCACCAAGAAGGAAATCTATTAGTCATCAATATTGTGTTCACAAGAACCTTTGAAACCAATATATAAGAATAAAGCATCATTAAGGCTCCAAGACATTCAAATTGGAACTCCATTTTTAGTGCCCCTTGACGTTTTAACCTTTCTATCACATTCATAACTACTAACCCCACCTAGAAGCTCGTAGAACAATCACGGGTCTCCTGGGAAGTAATGACAGGATTCCAAATGACAAAAAGTTGGGCAAAAACTTGCAAATCCATGTATGCTCATCTCTCCCAAATCACAGTGATGAGAGAAATAGAGAAGGGTTTACAAAAATGTTACATGGGTGTTTATCTCATAAAAGTAATTGCTTTTTTTGCTCAACCGGATCCAAATACAATGCAGAAGCACGATACAAGACTACACAAAGAGAACGTCCACAAGCATATGACAATTCCAGTAACACACAATTCTAGCATCATCACTTTCGCCATTGTACTAGCGTTTATCAAAGTAGCTCATAAAAAACTGTTGTTTTGAAGCAACTTGGTAAAGACTTGCATGCATTTTCATAATTTCTAGACCAAACCCAATTTCTGTTTCTGTTTCAATTCTACAAGTATGTAATCTACCATCAACATAAAACCAAACAAAACATTATATTCCCAATCAAATTATATTAATTTCCTAAACATCCTCAAAATATAGATTCCCCTGCATCACTCATCAAGTATTACTCGAATTTCTACCCTTAAGGTGCCTAACACCCAACCTTCATGCGTCTGCAACCTCTAACAAAACATTCTACAATGCAAAAATGCCAATGATAGCAATCATTGCACACACCCTCTCTCAACTTAGCATCAATTTCCACATGAAGTAAAGAAGTATCGAACAATCATCAAACAAAAGATAACCAACCTCTAAAAAACCCCATTAGTAATGTGTTCTCAACTCACATATATCCCTAGACAATGTTAAAGTCAGAAGTTCACACACTTACAATGAAGTAGAGAACGAACTAACTACTCTTGATATAAAAGATAATAACATCAAATGAAAACAATTCCATAACACCAACAACCACAGAATAAAGGATCACCAACAAACATTGCAAATCACATGTTTATAATATTAAAGACTGCAAATTTGAAGAATTATTGATATACAATGAATACCCAGAAGTCTAAATGCATCCCAATTATTCATTATCAGGACAAGTCGACAAATTACAATAGAATTCTTAACACGAAAACTCGTATGAAAGCACGGAAACTCCCGTGCTCAACTACTTGTTTATCAATAATCAATTCCATTTAAAATTACTAAACACAGCAACACCATCTTCATCATGCATTGCCCATATATTTTCACTTTATCATCGTCTCCGATTCCTAATGGGACTATCAAAATTGCCGAAAACTAACCAAATAGACAAAAAAAAAACCAACAATACCACCACTCACATCGCAACCAGGCCTCCCTGATTATATTGGCACATATCGCTTGGCCGCCTGCTTCGCCGTGACCGCCACGCCAACCAGGACTCCTCCAATAGCTCCAGCCACCGCAGCCGACCTCACGCCCCTCGCAGCTCGGTAAATCGCGCCAGTTCCCAGTCCAGCCGCAACGCTATTCCAAACATCGTCAGTGTCTCTGACCGCCTGAATCCCACTCTCCATACCCGCATAGATCAACCCGATCACGCCCAGCCGGTTCCCCCAAACCCGACCCGTGTGGCCAGAGGAGTTGAGAACCCTGTTGATCCTGAGCTTGGTGGTGTCTCCAGACTCGAACTGATCGAACGCCGGAAAAGAGACCGGCGGCGCCGCCTCCAACTGCGCCGGCGAGGTAGGAGCAGCCGGTGTAGAAGGTGAGATTCTCGCCCCAGGAGCGACGCTGACGTTTAGCCTCTTCGACGAAGAGGAACTCCGGGGAGGTAGGTAGCTGGTAGAGGTTTCGCATGGGAACCTGGAGATCCTGGTAGGGGTTGTAGAGGCGGGCCTTGGACGAGTCGGAGTTGGGGTCGTGATCGGAAGGGGACATTTGATGCGCCATCGTGGAGAGAGAGGAGAGAGAGATAGAGAGATTGAGAAGAGGAGGAGGATTTAGGCTTCGGGGGCGGTTAGGGTTTGATAGTGGCTTCACGGAGAGAGAGAGAGAGAGAGAGAGAGAGAGAGAGACGAGGTCAGTTGTGTTGTGTGGTGGCGTCGTGGTGGAAATTGGAATGCGAGAGAATAGAAGATGATTCTCGGAAAATATTGACGATATTGAGAAATTTTATTTGAATTCATCTAATCTATTTTTACATTCAACTTATTTTTTTCATCTATTTAATTTTTAACTAAACTATTATTATCTCTTTAAACTTAAATTTATTACCTAAAATGCCCTCATAAACTCAATTTAATATATAAATTTATCTTTACATTCATTTGATTTTTAACTCTATTAATGATAGTAATTCGTATTAGAGTGGTTCATCCTCAAGTTTCCTCAAGTCTCAAAGCTTAATTTTCTTCTCTTTTCCGCATTTTGCCATGAGATGGCCATTACGGTGGAATGCGATTGCTAGAGACGAGTCCCTTGTGACACAGAGTAGAGGAGCAGAGCTTATAGGCTTCCATATGAAAACTGTACCAAGTGATTGGCTCAAGGACTAGAATTCTCTCTCATCCTCTTACATTCATTATTTTGTCTTTTTCTTTTTATAAAAAATTAATATAAGATATTAACGTGGCCTAAATTCTAAATTGTGACCGTTCAAAGCAACAACCCCATTATAGGGGTTCAGCTGCACTGCATATCAGTACAAGCCTATGGTTGTCTTGTAACTACCTACCATCTCACCCATTGTCACATCTTGATAATGAAACTGCCTAGAAATTTGGGAGGAGGGAGGAGGGAAGTGATGGCAGCAGCAGAGAAAAACAATAAAAATATAAAATGCATGAAATTTGACCAAGGTTCTTAAAAACGCTAGGCGGTAGTTAGGAGGCAGGCTGACACCTAGCGCCTAAGCGGCTAGGAGGGGTCTAGGTAGGCGTCTAGGCAGCCTAGGCAGATTTAGGTAAAATTCTTGTATATCTTGTAAGTAAGTGCATATTGACACTTACAAAAAATTATACTTGTAGGAAATCCATGGATAAGATAATAAAAGAACGATAAAATGCAAAAAGAGTATCCAACAAGTCCAAAATTTAGAAACACATTAAACATAAATGTCATATAGCCATAGTGAGGAATATTGTAGGATGACACATGTACAACAAGTTCACAATTTAAAACCACTTAGACCTAGATAGGATTTTTATTTTATTTTTTAATTTCATTAAAAAATAAAAAACCGCCTAGCTCCGCCTAGCACCGTCTAGCCCGCCTAGAGCCCATCCAATTTTTCCAATCGATTTGCAAGAAAAAGCCTTAGCTCACCACCGCCCAACGCCTAGGCCGTTTTTTAGAACATTGAATTTGACCCAAAAAGAAGGAAATGGAATCAAAAGTCCTTGCAATGTCTGCAAGTCCTTTTAGTGTTTTGGGGTGTAGAGAGAGACCAGGAGAGTCTTTGCAACAATTTGATGTTGCAGAAAGTTTAATAAACTACGCGGGATTGATGAGAAAAAAAAATTGAAACTCAAATACTCATCGTCTAAACTCTAAAAAAATTGAAATCAAACGAAAAAAAAATCCATAAATCGAGTCATACTTTAGTTAGAGGATTTAAAACTTCAAAATCACCATCCATCAATAAAAAAAAATTGTTTTTCTCTATAATAACTATTAGGGTTTCAACCGAAATGAAAGTAGGATAAACAATAAATGATGGTAGGGTTTAATTATAGTTTGGGTTTATTTATAAAATTGAGTTTTATTATTAATTTCATTTATACTTAATTGTAATTGTGTAATAAGAAAAAAAATAATTAAAATTTAAATTTAAGTTGGATGTAGAAAAAAATTACAAAAGTTTAAATAAAATTTCCTTATTCTTAAATTCGTTTTTTATCGGGGACCTAATTATTGGGGGGGTGGGTGAAAACCTCTTTATTGGTTTCGCATAAATAGAGTTTATTACACATTTTCCCATTATTTTAGTCGTTGTTCAACTTTGCTCCAAACTTTTTTTTTTCTTTTCGCATCGCTTCCTCATAAATGGAGTTTCTTTCTAATATATAAATCTTGGAGTGCACATGAGATTTTTTTGGTTGTAGAAACGATATTATATACATTAAGGGGAAATGGCAAATTTATCCTCATAATGAGTTAGCAATAATATTATTCAAATTCGCATTTAACGAGAATGAAACCTAAAACCTCTCACTTACAAATAAAGAGAAACATCATTAAACCGTAATACTGAATGACACACAATGAGATTTTTTATCGTGTTGCATCCACGCTATGTATCGTATGTTGGGTTGACAACTTGACAGTAGCATCGCCAGGAAGTTGTTTAGGAGGGACTCAGATCCTCTTCGAATCATTTCTGTGGGGATCCTCCTGATCGATTGATATCAATCGTTGATACAAATCCAACGGCCAAATTATTTTCACCTCTTTGTCTCTCTCTTCCCGCTCAACTCTTGTCTTTCTCCCTCACTTGGAAGCAACCACCAACGCCACACCTGCATCTTCTCAATCTTCTTCAAGCTCAGCCCACCCCAATTAAATTCCTTGTTTATTTTGTATTTCTTATCTTAGAATCTTTAATTTTTGTTGTATGTTCAGTGATATTTTCGTAGGTCCTTTGAATTGGGACTTTATTCAACACGAAGAGGAAGAGTTTGCCGCATGGGAAGTTGGGGGTCAGGGACGTAGCCACTATAGTCCTAGAGGGGGTGGATGCCCCGCTCAATTTTTTTTTGGGTGCAGCAAAATTGTACAATTTTGCATCTCAATGACCAACCCTAATTGAAATAAAAATTAAACCTATATGTTAATTGGTATCAAGGGAAATGCTAAGGATACTCTTCCAAAAGTAGACCTCTCCATGAACTTTCCATCACCTCATGTTTTGAGCACACTCCCTGTACCAACATTATTAAACATTGTACCAAAAACATGAGGTGACGGAGAGTCTATGGAGAGTCCCACTTTGAGAGAGTCTCTTTAGCATTTCTCTTAGTACCAATTACTGACTTCGCCAACAATGATTCTAAGTATTTTGTATGAAAAACTTTATAGATTAATATGTAAGTGTTTGTTTAGTAAATTTTTTAGATTTTTAATTGTAACTTTGTTGTTTGAGGATGCCCCCATTTATACAAATCTCGAACTTCGTCCCAGGTTGGGGTGGGAGAGAGCCAGAAAGGGTCTTGCTGGGTTGTGTAAGCTGTGGAACTACAGTGGGAGGGTGGATATCCGGAAAAAGATTTTGAAGTATTTATACATCTATTGGAGATTAACTTTAGCATTGGCTAAAATGGCTATTTCTTTAAGGGCTTGTAGAAGGATCCAACACTCGGTGGAAGACCAGAGTCATGATCAGAATAAAAATGGAAGTTTTCTAGGGAAGTCTGGGATGCTAGTTCAAATTCAATTCGTAACATGGTAGCGGCGGGTCGGGTGCTTCGAATTGAGGGAGAAAGAGGAGTTGAGGGGAAGAGAGCAAGGGGAAAAGAGAGTAGTAGAAAGAGAGAAAAGACACGAAACTCATTTGGCCATTGTATTTGTGTCAACGGATGACGTTAATCGGTCACGATGATCCCCATGGAAATGATCTGGAGAGGATCCGAGTCCGTTTAGGAGGGCATTCAATGGACCCATCAACGTACCCCATCAAGTCACGACTTTTGAGGATTGGGAGAATCTGAGCCAACTATAAAGGATAGTTGGTTTGATCCAGCTTTATGTTGATGACAGTAGTCATGGATGAGAAGGGGTTCATGGAAGGAATTGCAGGATAAAGTTTGAAACATAGCTAACTCTTTGTGGATGAGAGTTTAGATGAATCACAAACGGTTGAAAGTAAACGGAAGAAGAAATAGAATATAACTATAAATATTATTTTATTAAACAAGATTGTCGAGAGGGCTACAACCGAATGACTACATCTTGAATGACTTTTTCCAACACCTGAATAATAATATTTTCCAACACCTGACGCCGTTACAACTAAAACCAAGTTATGACTTGGTCCAACACACATAGGGCAACAATAACAATTTTGATGCTAAAAAACATTGAGAAATCAAGTAATGAGACATCAGCATATCCCAAGACAAGGAAAAAAACGTAAATACATTTCAGTTTAAAGTGAAGTAATATTACGAAAAGTAAACTAAAAATAATCAAACTCCGCAGAATGCCTCCGGTGTGCACTCAATTCCATTTTTCCTTTGTGCTTCGATATACTCCACCTGGTCTAGTGACTTGTAACGTAAGGGGTGTTCTTCGTCCACAAGCTCCTTGGGTACGGTTGTTACTCCTATCTTTAGAGAGAAAAATCCAACCGAGTATCTTGCCTCATCATTTTCTCTTACGTTGACTCTGTGTCTACAAGCCCGTATTCTGCCGTTACTCCGTACCTATATTAACCAAAGAAAATATTAATTAGACCATGGAAACTTCCTCTAAGTAATGCATGTTGCAATATTAATTGTGTTCGTCAATTCAAAAGTTGTCACGTACATACCTTAAACATATCACCAGCTATGAAAAGGAAGGATGAAGGTAGATGTGGATCGAACATTATCCACTCGTCATCGTCTGTGTTTATCTCCAGACCATTGACATGATTTTGATGAAGAATTGTGCTGAAGTTCTTGTCAGTGTGACTCACTAAACCCACATCGCTTCCAGCTTTTGTGGGTTCTTTGTATTTAGCAAACTGGATAAAGTGAGACGTAGATCGAATGTGTTCGTCGTGGTACTTCTCCATACCGTAGTTTTCGAATACCATTCTTGTTACAACATGATCAAGCTCCATCATCACCTTTGCATATGAATCTACACTATCACTGGCCAAAAAAACAAGATAATTGTTAGTAAATAAGTATCAATTAAGAAAATGATTAAGAGTAACAAGAACTGTAATTCATGAAACAAAAAAACTCGTACAATACATACCGGAATTGATCATTTTGGTTAGGCCAGAAAAGATGTGTGAATTTCTGAGTTTCTTCTGAGTGTGCGGGATTCTGAATCCCCAAGCTCTCATGAACGGAATTATATATGAAATGGCCACAAAATGGATTCTCTTCGTATCGGTTTTCGGCTTTGAGTTCGGCAGGGAACTCAAA